ATATCTATTTGAAATAATAATTTGAGTAATAATTAATATGTATTTGTTACTTTATAGATTTTGTCGTTCTTAATGTATCAAGCGTCTATATGCAAATAAAAGCCAAAAACTATCGTTTTTATCATTAAATGAAGATATAGCCTAAAGATGCTTTGCGGGCTTTACAACATAATCAGGTTTCATTCGCCCAGGCCCCTGGGCATTTTAACCTATGCCCCCTCTCTGTCGGCGGGCACTCGTGTTTAAAAACATGAACTATATGACTCATCGTCTCGTGTAGCTGGGGTGAGGATTAATGCCAAAAAAGGGGATTTTGAGTGACATGTGTTTTATGTAATAACATTAAATTTGAACTTATTGAAAACTAGCATCACACACACAATTGATCATAAGATAAAGTTTCAAATCTCAGTTGGGAATAAACAATTCCATACTGATAAAAAAACCTGTCAAATCAAATACATCTAACCTATGTGTGTCACGTCACGCCACGCTTGAATTTTTGGTTTGTTTTGTTTTTCCCCATGTTTTCTAGAAATGGTCAAAATGCATTTATCCAGATAGAATAGTTCGGTTACTGTCTGCCCATGACGATTTTAGTGACGGGAGTGCAAGGGAGCCGTGAGGGAGAAGGGGGGGGGGCTACTGTTAAACCTTATAAGGGTAGTGAGTGTTGGTATAATAAGTCTAAAGTAAAGATGTAGTTGTGGGATCACCTAACCTAGAGTCAAGTGTGCATAAAATTAATTTTGTTGTCATTTTATACTTTCAACATAACATAAAAGCCATTGTTGGAACGTAAGTGTGACCAAAACGCACTGGCTTTTTTATATATTAGAAGTAGTTAATCTAACTGATTTTTACCAATATGTATTCTATCAAATTCAATACGCCACGAATTCATTTCATGAATGATATTAATTTTGATTGGCTCACAAAGGAACTCACCGACGTTTGACTGCATCAACTGCACTATTCTGCCTCGCAAAATTTATTTATTTCAATTAGCTATAAAATGTGAGGTTAGGGTATACTATGGTACTTGTCTCGTCATTTTTAACGGACTATACGCTAGTAATACAATAATCATTACAACACTGTTAAACAATGAACAGCTATTGACTGGTTATGAAAGAAGCAAATAGTCTGTTTCCCGGAACCACTAACCAATAATTATTTTCTTTTTTTTTACCTTTTCCCCGCTATTCTGTTTTCAGTTTTATCAAAATATGATCACTTAGCGGGGTCACATGGTATATTTACCTACATCCCCCGTCTTAGATACAAATCTTAACGTCTAACATTTGATTGGATATTTTGACCACGTTTTAAGAATCAATTATAAATCAATAAGATTTAGAAATTGTTTAATTTTCAAAATATAACAGCCTATCATCACGTGTTCATACCAATAAACGTTAAAAGTACGCACAAAATTTGTACAGAATGCTGGCGAAATTTCTGACGTTGTTTTTAAGCTAAGCCTAAATGAATCAGCTTGTTTTAACTGTATTGCAAGAAAAAAACTATTCGTCTGCAAAGTTCTGCTTCATCAGTGAGTAACAGAAATCTTACTCCATGTGATATTTCCACACTCATTTTACGGATTGGAGGAAATTGTTTGTAATTAGGCCTAAATTAGAGAAAAATGTCGTCTAAAATGTTTCTACATCGATGTTATGCATTCTTGGTAAAGGCCTTGACAATCGAACAACATTGATTCCATTTGTAGCCCAGCTTTCAAGACAACGTTGACATTTTTTTTTCATATTACGTGATAATCTCTCGATCAATCACGGCAACGAATTCATGCAAGGGGTATAATAATGTATAGTATTCATTCGCTGTGTTTACAGATACTCATAGTAATACAACACTTAGTGTTTTCATTATTTAATTTCCAGGACATGAATGAACCTGCCAATTTTGGTACCAACCGTGAAGAGCCATGGTATTGTAGTGGAAAATGTTGGAGTCTACACTGTCCGTACAATGAATATGATAATCCCCCCTATGCTACAGGTAGAAAAGTATTAATTTCTAATTCTAGAATTTAATATCCTGACTTACAGTACACGTAGTAAAGCATTAGTTTTTAATTGTAGGATTCAGTAACCTATCTTACAGTACACGTAGTAAATCATTAGTTTTTAATTGTAGGATTCAGTAACCTATCATACAGTACACGTATTAAAGCATTAGTTTTTAATTGTAGGATTCAATAACCTATCTTACAGTACACGTAGTAAAGCATTAGTTTGTAATTGTAGGATTCAGTAACCTATCTTACAGTACACGTAGTAAAGCATTAGTTGTTAATAGTAGGATTCAATAACCTATCTTATAGTACATGTAGTAAAGCATTAGTTTTTAATTGTAGGATTCAGTAACGTATCTTACAGTACATGTAGTAAAGTATTAGTTTTTAATAGTAGGATTCAGTACAGTATTCCACATTAGAGTAAATGAAGGAACGCTGTAATTTTAACATGTAGGGTTGAATAATTCACTTAAGGGTTAAGGTACAAACGATGTAGTTTCAGCAGCTAGTATTGAATGCTAAACCTTACATTAAAATTATTAAAAAAGTAGTTTAACAGTTAGTTTTGGATAATTTCGCCTATCAGTATAGAGAAGATGAGTGGACGAATTTAATAAAATTAATGAATGTGTTTTAGTATTGAATTCTAAATGGTACAGTTAAGCAATATTTCAGTGGGTAATTTTCATTAATTCAACATAAAATGCAGATTTTAAAGTAGTATTTCTACTAGGATACTTGGATAATCCACTTGTGGTAAAATAGAGATTTTAGTAAATAATTTTCAAATTTCAAATGTACGTTATACGGTAGAGATAAGATAGTGGTATTTGTATAAAATGGGATATAATAATTCATTAAATAAATACAGAATCAGTTAGTTTAATATAGAATAAAATAGGTAAAAAATAATAAGCTTAAACTGATGTATTTTTTGTCTGGTGAAATTTTATTACTTGCAATTTAGACATTAGTCCCAAAACAAGTTTATTAACCCTTATAGAAAGAATTAACATAAATGCTTGTTAGAGATACATAAAACACATAACAATTAATTAATTTATTATGTTAAATGACAATAAGAAAATAGTTGATGTTATTCATTTGTTGAGAAAGCAGTCAATTTAAAAACGGAGTAAATATCCAGTCGAACAACGCGACACGGAATTCAGTACTTGCTTTTCACCTGGTTAGAAAGTAGCCAGTCAAAGAACGGGACACGAT